AATTAGTGCTAATTTACAGTTGCAACTGTAAATTAGGCGATATTTAGAAAAAAAAAGTTTCTTTTGCCTAATTTACAGTTGCAACTGTAAATTAGGCAAATATTCGTGAGAAAAAAAAAGTTCTTCAAGGATGGCAGTTCAGACGCGTCGTAGGAAAAAAATCGTGTAGTCGCAAATTTTTGTATAGTGGTAAAGGGAAGTGTCATTAACAACATACTAAAAGTCCTCACCCGTAGGGGATGAGCGCGATGGTGGGGGAGTGTTTGAAGGTAATTTTCTCAATCAATTCTTGAATAATTCGAAAATCGTGACCTCTAGCGAGAAAATATAGCTATACAAAATTGGACTACTTGAAATTTTCTATAAAAAAAGTTCCTATTCACTTGTTGTCTACAATGGATAGTTTCTGAGATACAGGGGAAACAAAAATCGAAAAGTATAAAAAATAGAGTTTACTGATATGCAATTCATGTTTGTTGTGTCACTATTGTCCTGCGTTTCATGAAATGTATACCTATAGACTGCTTCTCATCAAATGATGGCTTTTACTATAAAAATAAGGACTGGTAGCATACACTTTTCTAATGAATCAACTCAGCTAACTTTGTTCGTATCTACGTTGCCATAGATATGAATAAATTGATTACTCAATCCACCACCTCAGCCATCTATAATAAGAGCAAAGGTGGAATTGTCAAGCTCTTCAGCAAGTTTCCTAGAAAAATGAGGACAATATCCGACATTTTCACCAACCCCTCGACACAAGCAGACAAAGTTACACAGGCTGGCGAGAAAATATTTTTAGAAATGTACCAAGTGACTGCAGATCAACAGGATCTGAATAGACTGCGGTATGCTGCATTCTTGAATGCATCAACAAAGCCAAAACCAAATCTCGCCTCACTGCCACCAACCATAGGAGCAGCGCAACAACACTCATTCAGAGTTTATTTACAGGTATAATAATTCAATCCAATCCGTATCATGCCTCTACAATAATATTTATTGGTTATATTTCAACTGGTACAGCAATGGCTCAACAATCCTCTCCCCCGACTGAGTGGGGGTGGAACAGAGGAGAGGATGGATCGCTCATTCCAGTGACAACCAGAGATCCAATAGCATCTGAAGCGATACTGAACAGCATATTCTGCTGATGTTCTACTGGATGTGGAGGACGATGTGGTTGTCGGAAAGCTGGAATTCCATGCTCCATGGTGTGCGGCATGTGCCATGGTACGTGTACGAACGGTGCACCGTTACTGGATGTGGAAAATGACGATGAAGATGATGATTAATTGTTGATATTATTAGAACGTATTCATTCAATTATGTCTGTTCTCAATGAGTAATGTATTTTTTCTGTTAATATTCAAGTTAAACACCAATTCCATACCATTAAACTCTATTTTTGATATTTCTCGATTTTTTCATCCCCTGTATCTCAGAAACTATCCATTGTGGACAACAAGTGAATAAAAACTTTTTTATTGAAAATTTTATTTACTTCAATTTTGTATACCTATATTTTTCCGCTAGAGGTCGCGATTTTCGAATTATTCAAGAATAACTTGAGAAAATGACCTTAGAACGCTCCCCCACCATCGCGCTCATCCCCTACGGGTCAGGACTTTTAGTATGTTGTTCATGACACTTCCCTTTGCAACTCTGCAAAAATTTGCGACTACACGATTTTTTTCCTCTATTTTTCGTTCGTTTACTGAACTATGGAGGCCATGAGCCGGAAGTGAGTGAATGACATTGTGAAACTAATGATCAACTTGACAATAGAATCATGAGAAATAATCAGGTTGGGATTTGGGCTTCCAGCGGGGGCCCAATGACCAAGGGCTCCAGTGTGCCGCACCGAACTGCCCTACCATAGAAAACCCAATCAGCCAAAGTATATCTTTCAGACATCTTTAAGGCGTATATTCCACTACGTAAGTACGTCTTCAAGAAGTACATTTCAGGTCACAAAGACGTCTTTTTGACGTACATTTTCTAATGTAAGGTGCTTCTTTCATAGGTCTTTCTGGTCAATGTCCATACATTGAACTTTAAAATTACGCAAATATCACATATATTCCATTGAGTTCCACCTGTACACTGAAGATGTTGGCAACTAGTGAAACCAAGTGAAAAAAAAAGAAGATAAAAAACGACACCAGAAACCAGAAGACTCAAGCGATCACCCAAGTACATATACAGGGTGACCCATTTCTGATGGAAACACCCCTGCATCTTTTGTAATCGTTGGGTAAGGATCCTGAAATTTGCTGGAGTGGGAGATATACCAAGAATGCACTCCATGACCAGGTGGAGTCATTTTCAGTGATATACACTGCTCGCCAACAGCAATGGAACCACCCCAATTTCCGGAAAATGATATTAGGAGTTAAAATAGGTTAAAAATCACTTCGGAATCAGGACGCCCAATTCACTAACTATTCATGATGATAATATTGGTATTTGTGTATTGTAAATCAATCGAACAGCAGATTCTCTCAAACGAATCTAATGAATCTTCTGTTTTAAAATGGGCATAAATAATCCAATCTGATGTAATAAGAAGTGAATTGGCTTGTCTTCAAATTAATTTTCCATCCAGTCCGTTTCATGAATTCCTTTCATAGGAAGTGGTAGATATTATTGAAATCAGAGAATTCCCGCAAAAAAATCCATTTCTTCTGTTACTCTGTTTATTCCACTTACTCCAACAAGCTTTCAATCCATTTCACATGTCCTTTGTGCCAAAAACTTGCAAGTTAAGTGTGACCCACTTCCAATCTTCAATTGATTTGAAATTTTGCAAGTGAATATCATTCCAGTGACAATTCGTTGTGACAATTATTATTGAATGATAAACACAGAATGGCGGATCCAATATAGTGGACGATTTTTGTGATTATCGTCCTATACGAATCAAAGTTGGTATATAAGAGTTTTTGGTGTTGGAGATTATGATTCCCTTGTCCAAATTGAATAATTCAAAATGGCGACGCCAATATGGCAAACTATAGTTTTCTGATTATAGTCTGATTCGATTCAGAATTGGTATCTGGGGGTTTTCGAGTTCAGAGATTTTGATTATTTTGTCGAAAACGAAAAATTCAAGATGGCCGCTTGAAAATGGCGGACGAGTTTTGTGATTATGTATAGTCCGATTTTACGTCTTGTATACGTCCTGGGAGGAATGACGGGAATCAGACCTGAACTGTACATAACTCTTCAAGATGTACATTTCTTCCATCTTAAAGACGTACATGAATATAGGGTCTTAAGACATCTATAGTGCTGATTGGAACGCCACTTTTAATTTCATTGACTGTTTGTTTCACTAATTGTTGAAACTCCGTAGTGGTGATTATGGATCTGTGAAAAGGTTCTGTTGTGAGCCGCATCATAAAATGAGACCAATTAGTTCGGCAAACTTTTCCATCTTTTGTTGACAACCATCTCGTATATCGACTCCATCCACGAACTCCATCGCATCTGGTTTCGTGGCTGTTCACCAATACCAGTGTGCGCGTCAAATTTGCACTTTGATATTCACCTGAAAGTCTTGCAAGCCAGTATCTTTCTCAAAAGTTTTCAATATCGTTGACTTTCATTGAATAAGCTTCAATTTGTTTGAAGTGTATCGTATCTAAAATAAATCAGAACACCCAAAAAAATTTATTTAGGAATAAGCAATCACATACTTACGGGATCAAGTTCGAATACAAAAAAACATTTCATGAATATGCTCTCTCTATCTATACAAAGAGAAGTTGTCCGCCAAAAAAAAAGTTGAATCCCGACTGAAGACTTATTGGTTTAACCAATAAATATTCACATTAATATTCACAGAAGTTGGCGATCTGGTTCTATTCTTCCTTTACCGTGAATCTACATCCTCAATTGTTTGTTAGACATCCATAAAAACGAATATAATTATCAAAGAAATGAGGAATTTTCATAACTACACTACAAGAAACTGTAAGTTGATTCGACCGATTAGACATCGCTTAAACACATCTGAACGTAACTCTATAGATATAAAATTGTATAATATTATCCCTGCCAATATCAAAGATACATGAATAAACAAATCTGGAGAATAAAATAAATGAATAAATTACATGCAAATAGTGAAACAAAGAGAAATTATGCCTATGCCACGGGGGATCAGTCTTCACCCAGTTTAATTTTAATCTGTTTTTTTTTTGTATTGTATCATTCTAATTCAAATTTTTACCTATATACTTTTCCTTGTCTTGACTTTCCACAAATGAATTTAATTTCGTAACGTGGAAGAATGAATAAATAAATAAAATAAAAAAATAAGATATTCAATAGATATTTCCATGGACGGTGCTCTTCTGAAATATCAATAATTGTTCCTTCCTTGGCAGTCCCGGCGAGATTAACCCGTCGAGTTGAGGCTTCGCGCCCCTTCGTGGTCACTTAGGAGACCTGCAGAACATCCCATTCCAAAGACTCGTTCATGCAACGAACAGCAAGGCACTGGAACACATTGCCAAGTGTTCCTCGAGGCATATAACCTCCAGAAATTTAAGAAGAACACCGATTCCTACCTTATTTCCTTTGGTTCTCACGATGTTCTCTGAAAATTACAGGATATCCCTCTTCGTGGGAACCAGAACATATAAAAAAAAGTTACAGTGACAACAACGATGTGATATTTCCCGGCCTAGTCCGGGAAGTACGTACCTCCCGGACTAGGCCAGAAAAATGTCACTTCCTCAAAGAAAATGCGTCGGACGTTTGCCAAAAAAAGCTATTTAAGAAAGTGTGAAGATGTGAATATTATGACACTCATAACCCCCCTGGAACCGCGCTCGCTTGTAATATCAATAACTATTTCGCATTTCCTCTGATCATCTGATCAAATCACCAGCTCTTTACGTTAACCGATAATGTTTGATATATGAATATGATTAATGTGATAAGCCCTCATAATCTCTAAGCATATGGCGCCCATAGAACGACTTGATCGAAGATTTGCCGTTACCCTCTACAAACAATGCTGAATCAATAAAATCTCGAATATTAAACAATTTCGCCCACGCTTTGCACATTTTTGACAAACCTCCACATGGTTGACTCCCCCTAGGTGGGGGTAGGCTGGAGAAAAGGGGAGTTTGTCTGTTATAAAAGTAGATATCAGCGCGCGAGAACTTCAATCGCGGTCTGACGGGGTTGTAATTCAGGGAAGCATTTTGCTCCGATCCACGAATCAGCGGTACGTCATATAAGGGTTGAAAACTCTTTCGAAAAAAAGTGCGCGCTGTTATTTCAAAAGTGCCGATAATTTCACAGGTGAGTTGGATAAGTCATAGATTTTATGTCAGGCCACTGTAGAAAATAGGCAAAAACACCCGATACACAGTCGGTAAGCAAAACGCATAGTTAAGGTTTAAATGCTATCTCATATTATAGTAGTACAAACTCAATGAATGCCAAATTATTGGACACATTTCGATACTTCATGTGTATTGGAAAGTTAGCAACACTAGAAAACTTGTTTTTTCTGAGACGGGAATAGTAATTTTCCTAACAAGTGCGGAAAGTGATTCTTTCCCGCACGTGACTGCCGTTGACACGAACGACGCGAAGCGGAGTTCGGGCAAGCAGTCGAGTGCGGGAGAGAAACTTTCCGCATGAGTTAGGAACAATATTTTTTCTACAAGCGTAGGAAATTGATTGAATCGTTCAATTAATTATTCAAGCAAATAGGAACAACTAACAAGAGATATATATTCTCTATCTATTAATTATTAGTAATAGTTATTGTGAACTTACAGTTTGACGCATTATGTTGGTTCATTGCGGAAGCCAGCAGGCCCATTAGGAGTTTGGTCTCTAGGTTCCAGACACTTCTATGAAATGAGCCAAAAATACCTATTTTTCATTCGATTTTTTCATTTCTTTATTGTTGCACCATTCAATGAAACGCGTGTATAGCTTCTCATACCATCCTTAAGACTTCGTTGGTGATAACGCATCTGTATCAAATCCCTATAGCTAGAAGTTTTTCATCACATTGTGGCATTTCCACTGAATCGAAAATGACAGTAACGCTGTGACTGTCACTTCGACAATCTCAAACTTATTTGAGGTTTGATTGCCATGACAAATTGACGTTTCCCGTCAGATCAATCCAAATCTATAGGGGGATTTTTATAATAATCAATTTTTATTTCTCAATATTTCTTAATTTTTACAATAAATAGTGCAATTTGATGGATGATTCTGAACATACATACTTACATAATTACAATACTGCAACAAACAAACTCAAACTTTTATATTCCATCACCAACCACTTATATTACTAGCGATGTTATAATATCTTTGTTTTCCCGCACTAGTGTGGGAAAATTTTCCCGCACTGTTGCGGGAAAATGACACTTTCCAAGCTAAATTGCGTGCGGGTATAGGGTGAATCACGCACGTTTGTAGAAAAAAAAGTTTTCACCTCTGTTGACAGGTTAAAAAAAGTCACTTTTCGGAAATTACTTTCTCCCCATGAGAAAGTCTAAATATTGTTTTTTGATGAAAAGTTCGAAACGGTTTGAGAAAAATCAACAAACTTTCTCACATATACTAAACTTTTCACCCTGAAGATGAAGATGAAATGAAAATTGTTTCATAAAGTAATTCAGTGGCGGCTGACTCTGGGGGTGGTGGAGAAAAAATCACTCAAATTTTTATATGTGCATATCATTCTCAATTTTTGGTTCAAAATCTGCAAAAACATAGGTTTCTGCGTGAAAAAGCTCACTTGTGAGTTTTTGATTCGATTCGCCTTTTTCGAGTTAAATTGGTTCAGAAATATCCTAACATTTTCAGTTCAATAATAATATTTGATTACAATTGAAATATGAGTACTATCCTCCCTATTTCATCTTATAGAACGTGAGAAGCTTAGTATCTGTGAGAAATTTTGTTGATATAACTCAAACCATTTCGAAATTTTCATCAAAAAATGCTACGCGTCGGGAGACAACAAAACTTCGAGCTAAAATCTACGATTTTTCCCCTTGTATAATGACTAACTATATTATCAATTTTAGTGAAAAATATTCCTCATAAAAAGTTCTGCAAGGCTTGAAATCGTAAATGCGAATATCAGACATCGAATTCATTCAGTCGTATACGAGGTATGTCAAAAAATATTGATTTTGTTCAAGAGTACCTACCTCCATTTCTAAAAATCTCGGAAATCATTTTTGAAAAAAGTTGGCTAAAAATGGGAATAATCGATTTTGAATATTATCTATTACATAATCAGTATTCATTATTTACTTTGAGCAACAATTATATTCTTTGACATACCTCGTATACGACTGAAACTATTTGATATCTGATACTCGCATTTTAGATTTCAGACCTTGCAGATTCTTTATGGAGAATGACTTTTTTCCCAAAATTGAAAATGAAAATATTTTCCATTTGTTGCCAACATACTGAATATAATATATTATATAATTTTCCGAAATCGTTCGACAAAGAATTGTTGAAAAAAAAACTGAAGATGCATAAAATACAGGTTCCCATTTCAAAGAAATTGTGTCATTATGTCCAGACTTTTTTGCATGACTCGGCGACTCCGTGCATAATTTATCATTCTAGCAACACTTATTACGTAATATATTATTACTGCAATACTAGATCAATTTCGGAACCCTCGAACAAGGAAGGCATTTTCCTTCTTCCAAGGAGGAAAATCAATTTATTTACTTCTCGAATAGGAAGTTTAAAAATTAAAAAAAATATCTGTTCAAACGGTAAGGTGACGACCACGATGCAAATTCACACTCATTCAATTATCACCCTGTAGCAATGTTATCTGAAATTACAGAAGTTTCATATTGCCTCAACAAACTGTCAAGAGATTAGCCTAATCATCGGTGAAAACCGATTTCAAATTGGTGAGGAGATTCGTGAGTTATTCTACTTTGAATTCAGGCTATATTTTGGAGCACGACGTTATCAATGTTGACCAGTTTAGATGAAACTGAACAAAGAAAATATAAAAAATCATGAAATATTTTCTGAACCCTTTTTCACACTGAAGTTGTATGAAGTTTCCAAAATGGCACTTGCCCCCACTTCTTCCTTGAAACCAGTGCCTATGAATATTTTAGTCCTTATCATGCACTCTATAGTCATTAGGAACACACTGATATTTTAATTTTGATGCCTAGTAATGTCATGTAATATCAACGATTTTATTAAAATAAAATGAGTTACTTCATGAAGTTGAAAAGATAAATTATTGGGAACTTCGAATTCCTATATACAGGGTGATTCACATAACAACCGACATAGGACAGGGGCATGTAGGGGGTTCCAAAATATGGAAATTTAACGCAACTTACCTCTATACCAAGTTGCTTCCCTAAGGAGTTATTAGGCATAGCACTAACAGCATGTCAACTTGCTCGTTAAAAGAAAACTTTTCGTTCATTTTAAAAACACTCAAACAACAATTACTCAATTGAACAACTCACTTGCCTGATCGTCAAGTTTGACGTTTATTTTCATAGCCAACTTTTGAATTTTCGATGATTTTAAATAACACACCTAGAGCGCGCGTTTTCAGTATTTCGAGTTTCGAGTTTTTGATGAAAATGATTTTTGTAGTTTTTTGAAAAATTACTAGAGTAAGAAGAGTTTCAGAATTGAATTGCCCACAAAACAAAGCGAAGATTTTTGAAATCCATCGTGGGTTAATAGAATTATGTTGAATATTAATGGTGCGCCACCCGGTATACCCCCTTTACAGATTTCAATCAAACTCTAGTTACTGTCAAGTAACGCCCTAAATACATCCACAAAGTGTACCAAATTTGGTTGCTTTAAGTTCAAGAATAACGGAGATATTGATTTTTTTCTAAATTTATCACTCCACTTTCAAAGCCTATATATTATCTCCTTAGGGAAGCAACTTGGTATAGAGGTAAGTTGCGTTAAATTGCCATATTTTGGGACCCCCTACATGCCCCTGCTCTATGTCGGTTCTTATGTGAATCACCCTGTATACCTTCTCATTCTTGGGCCGCAGATACTAAACTTTTCGTTGTTTTTTTTGAGGAGTTTCTCCGATTCCTGCTGTATACTGCCTTGCTAAGCAAAAAGGTCGTATCTGACAAATTTTGAATTCTGAGATATTGCGGTTTTTCTGTTTCAATCATCCATGATTTAAATTAGAAACTCATAATAATTTGCATGATGAGAGCTTTTTTCGATATCATGAATTATTATATCATGTGCATGTCATGAATTACTTTTTTTTGAGAAAAGTTGTTGTGTTACTTTCCTTGTAGATACGACAAATTTGGTCAACCTAATGTCCGATACGACATTATTTGAGCTCCTGGTAAATATCAGATACGACATCTGAGCTCTATGAAGTGTTGAAACATTGCAGATATGACAAATTTGAAACATGATTTGAGCTCTTATTTTTGCCGCTACGACTTTGAAACCATACCAGAAGATGCATGAGTGTTTCGAGATACGACAAAAAATATAATTATCCCAATTCCGACGAGAATGTCAGATACGACCTTTTTGCTCAATACGGAAGTAAATAGACATGTTTTTCTAATATCTGGATTTTCTTAATCACTTTTCATCGTTTCTCTGTAGCTTCTTTAGATTTTGAATGCTGTCTGTTAGTTGATCGAGGAGATGGTACATTCATTTTTCCATTATTCTTGTGAATTTCTCTTTTCGTTTCTATAAAATAAAAATTTCCTGAAAAGTTGCATAACAACAACATTTTCTGAAAATATGAGTGTCATTTCTATAAACCTGTATCCTTTCAGGAGGACGAATCAGATGATTTTCCCCAAAATGTCACTGCTCGTTTAAGAATGTTCTTCCAGTGACATCTTGTTTTAAGAAATGTGAGGAGAAATACCTATAGATAGATATATCGAAAAAAAATTAAAATTTTCATACTAATCTTCCGAATTTGATGATGATGATTGATGCAGTGCTGATGAACTCGACATGAATATACGATTTCTTGCATGACCTAATTTTTATTCTAGATACCTCTCTGAGATCCAAGGTCTGATCTGATTTAATATCAACTAGTGGTGATTTAAATATATTAGATATTGTGCCTATAGTAACAGGTCATCAACAATGGTTGAGTGCCACGTGACCGTTTTTGATGCGGCCATCCATGTTGAAGAGATACGATTACGAATGTATTCGTGTTTTAGAGTATCTGTCACGTGGTTCTCCATAGTAATTGGAGACAAACTTTCAATTTCATTCAATACCTTGTATCTTGGAAACGA